AGCAGTTTCAGGACGTATTTTCAACCCTTCGGGAAAACTATAAATATTGGTCCTGAAGATTCGTGAGGTGAAACTTTTTTTGGAAAATTTCCTTCCCGTTTTGAATCTATTTTCTAATTTGGATAATATCAAATAGTTTTTGAGATATTTGCAAAAAATCAGAACCCATTGTTTTCAGTCAATTGTTTATAACTTTTACGCTTTTGGAAGCGGTACTTGATTTTTCTCAAAAATGATTTACACACTATTCAGAATCGAATGAATGACACCCCGTTCATATTTTTTTGGGACGGAGAACAAAGTTCCACCTTGTTGACCAGAGTAAATATGTTAAGGAGGTTATTTCTCAATAACCTTTCTTATCAAACGAGTTACAAAAATTTCAGCAATTTCGTTTCCGACATCAACATTTGAAAGAATAGAATTCTGATACATGAAATGATTATAGGGTACCGAGATATATATACATAAACATGTTTTCAAAATATCTCTATAGTTTGTCTGAAATTGTTTCCTATAAAAAGAAAACTTTTCATTCATCAATTTGTCAGCAAATGTTTCACTCTATGAGAGTTCCGCGTCATCTCGAACATAGCATAAAAATTAAAAATTTGGAATTGATGCTAAACTACCCTCATTTTTTCAAAAACAGAAAAACATCCGAGAAATTTGAAATTGACATCATTCATATATTATAGATTCATGAACTTTCACCTTCCGAATTACTTCTATTTATTCACTTTTAATTCAAACCATTCAGTTTTCTTGAAAGTATACTTGCTCTACAGAATATTTACCGAGTTCACTCTCTTGTTGTTGTTGTTGTTGTTGTGTCTGTTGAAAATACATGCTGCTCTTCGATGAGTTTCATAATTTTTCCCGATAATCAAAATAATTGAAGTGTATGTTTGAAGGTGATTGACAATGTTTTATGATGAATTTCATTAGTTCGGACTTCCATAATCTGATATTATACAAAATGATTCGAAATCCCTGAAAGAACTAAAGAAGAAGAATTAAAAATGAATAGCTGAAAATAACAAGTATATTAAGCAAAAAAACCTGAAATGGAATAAAATACAAGTGAAAATAGAACAATTGAACAAAAAATAAAAGTTAAGAGACTCCAAGCCAAGTTACTTCTCGACGTTTCGATTGTTAGTATTTTCTTCGGGTGATGGCCTGTCATTTTTCATTTTTAATTCTTCTTTTTCAGTTCTTTCAGGGATTTCAAATGATTTCATATAACATCAGACAATGGAAGTTCGAACTAATAAAATTCAATTGAAGTGTATCTCCATTATTCAATGGAGTGGTAATTGTATTTTTTGGAACAAAAACTCAATATGAATTCAATAAGGTTTGAACTAGTGAACAGTTTTCAAAACTGAATCTCGTGTTTTACTATTGAATAGTTTACAGCATAATAAATACAAACCATATTCTACGTATTGGTGATTCATTGTTTATATTACTGATTGAAGTGATTGAATGCAATGTTCAACTTTCCACTGATTTTGATATGAGTATTAAAATTCAACAGAAGAGGAATGTTCGATTTTAAGTGGCCATTTCAAAAAAATGAGTTCCAAAACTTACTCTCCCAAATGTATGTACATTTCAATAAAAACACGATTCAAAATTACAATGATTCATGCTTTACTTTGAAAGGACTTTAAAAATGCCATGTATTGTCCTTTTAATCTATATACTAGAGAGAAATTGACCTCAAAAGGAAAATCAGTGTGAAAGCAGCCACGAGTTCTAGCCATGGATTTGTCGAAGCGAAGCGGGAGACCGATAATCAGCGGCTCCCAAAATACGGACCAAATTCTTGACCAACCATGAATTTATTGATCAACCTGAAATTTATGCGTTTGAAAACAAGTATCACAATAAATCCATGCATTTCAATGCATTTCAAGAAAAAAAATCTCCATCCACGAAATATTTGAACAAATCCATGGATTTGATGAATCATGGATTATCTTCAAACTTATATGTATATTTTCCAACAAATTCTAAAGACTTGATGTTCTCGACAATTTTTGATATGAAGGATTTATTGTTATACTTGTTTTCGCATAAATTTCAGGTTGTTCAGTAAATTCATGGTAGGCATCGAATTTGGTCCGTATTTTGGGAGCCGCTGATTATCGGATTTCCCGCTTTGCATCGAAAAATCTATGGCTAAAACTCGTGGCTGCTTTCACACTGATAAAAGTAAAATGAATATGAAAAGTAATGATCAAAAAGATCTTCCAAAAAAAAATCGAATCAAGAAAGTGTTATTTTTGAAACGGAGACAATTGTGGAAAATGTAAACTCTCATAACAGTGACTGAAAGTTTGATAAATAATGGGTTTTCATTCACCTGGAATTGACACTCTGAAACCTCGTGGCTGAAAAACTTCCACCCTAGCTTCAGGTACTTCATATTGGCCATTGATGAAAATAACACAAGAGCACAGCACTGCTAACCACAACATGTTGTGGTTTACAAGAACGACTGACAAATAATAGTCTTTTGTGTGAATCAACTCTTCTTGGTGACCCCGGTCGTATACAAGCGATTTGGAAAATCCGACAGATAAGTAGACGCTCGAGTTTGTGGAACTAGTGAAGCAATTGGATTTTACTTTCCCGTAAACAGAAAATAAATATTCTATGGATATAGTACTGACTTCCTAAAATTCGTGTAAGAAATTATTTATTCGTCTTTTTTTCACTGTTAATGAAGGTCAACGTCGCTTCTATTCAACTATATTCACAGGGCCGGATTGAAGAATTTGTTAAGAAAATATTTCCCCTGCATTTCTAGTATGCGGAGGAAATGATATATAATGAACAATATGAATTTATTCGTAATCATCACATTTGAAAGAATAAATTCATTGATATGGAGAAATTTACTCAAAATACTTGTACACAAAACACCAGAAATTTCCGAAAAATTATAAAAAATCAAAAATAAACTAATCAATACAGTTTATCGTATGATTTTCACTATAAAAGGATTTTACAAAAACCGCATCACCTGTTTCGCTATACAGTAGCTTCTTCAAGCGTAAAACTAGTAGTTTTACGCTTCAGGAAGCTATTGTATAGCGAAACACGTGTAGCGGTTTTTGTAAAACCTTTTTTTAGAAAATCATACAATAAACTGTATCAATTAGTTTCAATATGGATTTTCATCAAGTATCGGCCAGTTCTATTCAATTAAAATCAAAAGTAATGAAATTTAGGGTTGAAACAGAAATGTGATGAAATCGACCAATACTTGGTAAAAATCGACGTTTTCAAGAAACACTTTCACTATACAATAAGGTGTTTCTTGAATACATAATATTAACCAAGGGATTAATCTACTTATCAGTTGCTGAGGATTTTGAATGCTGTTATTGTGGATCTTACACTACTCAGTTCTTTTTTTCGAAACTATCTATACAACAGACGCCAGGAAGTTGTTCTTGATGGAGTACAGTCCACACCTTTGAATTTAAAAACAGGCGTTCCACAAGGATCATTCATTCTCTCCTCTGTACGATATACACCAGTCAATTAGTGAAATTCCTTCAGTATTGCTGTGTGCATCTCTATACTGATGACACTGAAATCTATTATTCTTTTGAACCACACAGGGATCAGTCATGATCTCGACACTTTCTCATTCCTTGCTAAAAATATGTTCTTAATGAATAATACATCTTCGAAAATACTAATATTTGGTCTAAAAAATCACATAGATATTATGAAACAACAACTCAATTTCAGTATAGGATCTAATGGATTGGAAATTGTGATGGAAGCAAAAAATCTTTGGGTTATTATAGACAGTAATCTCCGATTTGATTCCCATATGAATAAACTAATCCAGAAAGCTTATTTCTCACTCTAGATGATTTACGGAAATCGAAAATTCCTCCCTGAAAACACAAAAATTACTCGGATGTGACAGTCTCGTTGTTTCATCTTTGAACTATGCAGATGTACCCTATGCACCAAGCCTCACAATTAGGAACAAGAAAATACTTCAAAATATTCAAAACTCCTGCCTTCGCTTTATTCATGAGGTTCGTAGAAGGAACAGAATCTCATGAAAGCTGCCAGAAACTTGTTTTCTCAATATGGAAAACCGATGGTCGCTACACTCAAATTGTATCTATCATTTCGGACTGACGTACACAACTTGAATGAACGACACAAAGGGTTATGGACTCCTCCCATGCACACCCATGACTTTTTCCCACCTAAATTACTATTGGATTAGGATAAGCCCCTTGCCGGCCAGTGTCGTATATAGAATCAGTTTTAATTAAGGTAGCAAACGGAACATGACTTCTTTGTAATTTCTTCCATATTTTATTTAGTATTATAGATAGTAGTACAGTTCATATAATGATATACTTATCCAAAAATAAACTTCAATCAGTCACTATCTGATTAAAAATTTTCTTCATCTTCACTGCTGCTTATGCTGCTATCGTCATTTAAATTTATAATCACTGGATTCACCAGTGTGAATCTTTTATTTTCCCAAAAATCCTGCCTTCGCCTTATTCATGAGGTTCGTAGAAGGAACAGAATCTCATGAAAGCTGTCAGAAACTTGTTTTCTCAATATAGGACACCGATGGTCGCTACACTCAGATTGTATCTATCATTTCGGACTGACGTACACAACTTGAATGTACGACACAAAGGGTTATGGACTCCTCCCATGCACACCCATGACTTTTTCCCACCTAAATTACTATTGAATTAGGATAAGCCCCTTGCCGGCCAGTGTCGTACATATAATCAGTTTTAATTAGGGTAGCAAATGGAACACGACTTCTTTGTAATTTCTTCCATATTTTATTTAGTATTATAGATAGTAGTGCAGTTCATATAATGATATACTTATCCAAAAATAAACTTCAATCAGTCACTATCTGATTACAAATTTTCTTCATCTTCACTGCTGCTTGTGCTGTTATCGTCATTTAAATTTATAATCACTGGATTCATCACTGTGAATCTTTTATTTTCCCAATATTTTCGCTCTATATCTACTACATATCGGCAAAGCTTTTGCTATTCTTCGGAAGTGATTTTATCAAACTCGTGCTCCGCCAGTTTCCTCACATCTTTCAACTTGGAATTTACATTCTTTTGGAACACGCCGTTTTTGACGGTACCCCAAATGAGTTCAATGGGACTCAAATCAGGATGGTAGGGTGGAAGTCGCAAAACGTTATGTTTGTGTTCGAACAGAACCTCATCAAATTTTTATCTAATATGTTGTTTTCATTTAACTTGATCAATTCGTATAATTTGGGTTTGACCATGTTAGAGGTGAACATAATGTTTTTTTTTTTTCGGGCAGCCAATTCACCATGTCAGCCTTCCTAGAATTTGTGTTGGAGGCTGAATTAATTGGTATGGTATGGAGCATTTACATAAGTTTCATTTTTACCATTTACCATGTTACCATTTTCTGTATTATTTTCAGTTCTCCATTTGAAAACAATTTTCTATAAAATTCTACGAAGAGATGTTTCGGAAGCCACAAATATCAGTCAATGGTGCTCTTCTAGGCCGCTTCTTTCTTGGGGTGGATAATTTTACTCCTTTATTTGCAGTAGTCAATTGCTTCCCTTTTTCAACCACTCTTTCAATAGTTCTTATTGAAATTATACCTAATACACAATAAAGACTTGTATTGAAATAGTTATATTTTTTAATTTATTCAATGTTACCTGTAGCAAGAGATGTTTTATTTTTCACATTTGATAACGTATCCGACTCACATTTAACACTATGAAAGTAATTGAACACTTCAAAAATTATTTCACGTGCCTGACTCTCGATGACTGGTTTTTTGTTCGGCGATGACATTTTTTTAAAAACAAGACAAATTATTTAGACAATGCCAAACGCCAACAACATTGGAGGACAAGTAATGGTACGCCTCTGTACAGATCATTTGTATGTCTTGCAAGAGCTGTAGTGGGGGTTAAAGTGAAAATGAGTTTATGCGCATGAGGGCGGGCTCGCCATCACGTTTGGCGCTTGCTGTATTTCCTTTAACGTAGACAACTTATCTAGTGCGGTGCAATTGAGTTTTCGTATATCTTCTTAGGAAACGGTTATACCAAAATTATGAACTATTTTTCTCTGTATAACTAGAAGTAAGATTTTTCGAATTGAAATCAGAATGTGTATTTTGGAAACTAAGCCCTATATTGTAATTTTATATTTTGAAATACAATGCTGTTGAGAGGAATTTCAGTAATATAAAAAATGCTACTGTGACGACCCATCATAAACGGTGCGTGAAATAACAGAAGGCATCAGTCCTCATGAGGTTATTGATGGTTCAAAACGTTTTGGAGAGGTCAAGCCGCTCGTAAAGTGATAACCCCACGATTTGGATGATCGACAGGAATTGTTACATCTCGAAGTCTGTTCTTTGCCTTTGCACAACCAAAACAATCCTTTTTTCGATCGTGTGTGTGTGTGTGTGTTCAGGACAGTGGTTGGACACCGATATGCCACCCATGCACTTCTCAAGAGGGAAAAACCACTCACGCTCATATTGCACGGCAACGCCTGTCCGCACGTTTCACAAATCACCGTCTGAGAATTGAACGAGTTGAGAGTTGGAGTTCTGCCTCACCCTCTATACTCACCAGACCTGTCGCCAATCAGGACCAGGCAAAACCAGCCTTCGTCGACTTCATCGAATCCCGAGCGCACAATTTTCAAGCTGACGGCACTATTCGACTTGTGTTTCGATGGTAAAAATGCACTGTTTCAAGTGGCGCTTATTTTGATTATTATTTGAGTATTTACTGACATTTTACAGTGCAAAATAGACTCATTAAAACGGGCACAACTTTTGAAACAAACTAATTTTATGATTATTCGTTTCAATAAATTTTTTCCTTCTCGTTAACATCTTTAAAAAAAAAATTCAAACAGTTCAAAGAGATTTCGGTGTGTTTTTGCAATGATTCGAGAAACAGAAACATAATTAAAAATCACTACAGTTCATGATAATTTCTATGTAGAGAATACATATATTTTTGAAAGAATGGTGATTGGAATATTTTTCATAATCAGTTAGCCTTGAGAAGACTCTCATAACGGTGTTTCTGTCAAAAGTTGAGCAAACATATTATAGAAATCGTATCTCAATTACTAATTCAGGTGTGATGATATACTATCACCAACCACTTGAAATTTTCTTGACATGATATAAAATCTTTGGAGCACTATTTAATTTAATTAAAAATGGCCTTTCCCAAGTTATTGGTTGTCGTTTCTGCTCTCCTACTTATCCAGGTGAGATTTTTTGAACTACATATTTTGCCAACTGTATGTAATATGATTAGTACGATAGATCAAAAGCTTGTTTTTTTTTATCGATCACAATTACACCATGATGTCTGGACAAGTCACAAAATACACATATATTACATATATAAATTGTGAATTATAAATTATTTACAACGTAAAATTACAACATAATTACTAACACATGACATATGAAACAAAATTTAAAAGTGAAACATAAACATATTAAGGTTCATATAGATTATTAACAAATCTGTAAGTCATATTTATAAATAAGAGTTAGGAGTATTATGTAATAATTTGAAACAAATTTAACCAAAAGAATGAAAAAATAACAGGAATTGTAATTCAAATTAACTTAGGACAATTCGAAATCATTTACTTCGTAGTAGGCTTTCCTCAACAGAATACTCTTCAGTTTCTACTTCAAGAGGAAGATAAAACAGTTTTATCTTCTTCTTGAAGATGATCACTTGGTGATCGAAACACGTGTCGAGGTGTAAAAATAACGATTTGGTGTTGGGAAAAAACTCCAGTAATATTCATTACTACACCAAAGGTTCCAAACAGTACATCATAAATATTAGTTATTAGCAAATACATATAAAGATATCCATTGATACTATCTGACATTGGTTTGTAATATAGAAAGATAGTGAAGCTGTTATGTTGAAATGGAATAGTATATATAATAAAGACCAGTTTTTCACGAATACCTTCTGACCCTTTAGAATCATCATGTATCATCAGTCCAAAATTGAAACTGATAATTGAAAATGTAAAATGGTTGAATTCTTGATCAAGAAAATAGAAAAAACAAAAATTCATGAGCGATCTGCTATAAGATTGCTCATATCGTTTACCTAAATGCTCAATAGGAATCGTGAATAATGCCGCAAATAACGGAGTATGCTACTGAGAAACAATACGACAAGTTCATCAAATGAAGAGCGAAGGGTAACGGATACATATTGGGTTTGCTTGCCTAAAGCCTTGTTTTCCTAGCGACGCTTTTTTTCGCGTCGCGTGCAACGTGTTACGCTCAGCTTAATACGTCTCCTACTCCTCCATAGATATTCAATAGGACTGTTTTCCTAAAGAGCGCAACACGTTCCACGTCAACGTGATGTACGGTTTTGTCCGTCTCGGAACGTTTATTTTGTTGTGTGTAGTGTTTGTGATTTGACTGAAACTTACGAAAATGAATGTTCATGATGCGTAACAACTTCCAACCGATAATAACCGAATCGCCATAACTCATTTGCATTTTGCAAAGAATTGATAAATCGGACTGGAACTTGAAGTTTGTTCTGAATTATATCGTTTGTTTGAAATTCTAAACTCGTGTTTCACGAAATTTTCGTAATATGTAATATATTTACATATCACGAATATTACATACTTTGTACGTTCTACAATGGAATTGTGTTAGAATTGGGATAATTTGGATCGTATCTGGACATCGGTGAAATATATCCCATGGATAGGCAGACATCATCTGACGTGGGATTCAGTGATCCAGATTTTTCTGCAGGTCTATAAGATCCTGTGGAGACTCATGAGATTCTTTCCAGGAATTCCTGGGGGAAAAATGTATAATGAAATTTGGAAAGTATGGGTTACCTGGGTGTTTATTTACAGGATGTTTCCTAACTACGGTACGAACCTACAGAGGGTGATTTGTTAGGTCGATTTAAGAAAATAATATTTTATTGACATATGTCCGGAGTTGCTTCGTTTCTGAGATACACACCGTTGAAGTCTAAAAAAACGGTATTTATAAAATATCATTAATATCCTTACATGCTATTTGAAGTAATGAGGCGCCTATTTAACTCTAACTAGATTGAAATTATCAGGTGCTGTGGATTCTTAGTGGGCATAAATATCAGGAAAAAGTATGCCACTCACTGACTTTGATGTAGTTTTTTATTGATTTTTTTTAATCAACTGAAAGTACAACTTTTTCATCGCTTCTTCACATCTAGTTTCGTTTTCGAGAAAAAAAATAGGCCTCTTTGCATATCATGAACAGCTGCTTTGTAGACCAGCTGAAAGTGATAGTGTTGTCAAATCAGTGAAAGTCGGAGTTTTCAATCAGCAGTGATTCCATCACGAATAATTTTACTAACGCTGAAATAGCTGTCATGCGCTTTATTTATGGACTAGCAAATGGGGATGCAGAAGAAACAGAATTCACCAGGAAATATATCTTAACAGAGTAATTTCGTGTGCTGAAATATTGAGAACTCTACATGCAAGATTATGTGAAACTGGGAGTCTTATTAAAAATGCAGGTGGTTGAAGACCAGAAATTGTAACAACGCCTGAACTAGAAGGTATACCTACTTGATGCGATAGAAGAAGATCCTTTGGATAGTACCATGAAGATTGCATTGCAGATGGAAGTCAGCCCAAAAACCATATGGACAGTTCTGAAAAGAAACCTACGATACCCATATAACATACAAGCTCTACTGACTCGAGATTTTCACTCAAGACTAATGTATTGCAGGTGGTTGATTTATACGATGGCACACAATAATAGTTTACCAATTATTTACCATCATTCTACTTTCATAATGACCATTTTTGTGCCCACGTTATTAGAAAAAGTCATTTTGAACAAAAAGTTTCGCTGAACGTTTGGGTAGGAACGATTGGCACAATTTTTCTATCAGCAAGATTAACAGGTAAATCCTACACGAACTTTTTGCGCGATCATGCACGACGGGGCTCCAGTTCATTTTAGTATTCTTGCTCGTCAGCATATCGACATCACCTACCCCAATCGCTGTGCAGAACCTCAAAATTGACCAGCTCGTAGTCATGATATGAATCGTTAAGATTTCTATTTATGGGGTCTCCTGAAAACTCTTGTTTATGAAACTCCTGTACTAGATGTGAATGACTTAAGCAATCGAATAATTGACAATTGCAATATCAAAAAAATACTCCAGGTATTCATGAACGTGTCAGACAATCAACGACTAGCCGTGTACTTTTGCAGAAGGTAGACATTTTGCTCATTCACTTTGATATCGAAATTGTTTATCATTCACCTTTGGTTTGCATTTTATGTTGTTCATGGATAGTTTTTACAAGTGATACACAATACACAAAAAGTCCGTGCCGTTCTCTTTTTCTCAATATTGTTGGCTCTGGTGCCACTGAGATGCCACTGAGCCTAATAATTTCAATTTGTTTCGGACTAAATACGCCCCTTTATACTTCAAATAACTGTAGCAAATTCCAACTGAATCGGTGTAAGGATATTTATGATATTTTATTTAACTTCAATCTCAGAAACGAAGTAACTCCGGACATTTATTCATAGGAACTTCGTACTGTATTGAGGAAACACCCTGTATTTTTCATCTTTTTTTCATATGTTTCGATGACAATGTCTCACTGACTCAGATATATTACCCAAATATAGCTTTAATGAGAAATACATTTAAACTTGGGTATCAGAAATAAATGGACAAAATTCATATTTTCATCCATTAGGAATATATGTTTTGAATCATAAATAATCTTTTGAGTATTCAAAATCTTTTTCAAGAGATGCAAATTTTTGAAAATGAAAATTTGATGTTCATTTCTCCAGTAATACCCTATTCTGTTATTTCCTCTGAACATTCCATCAGTATCTTTAAGAGGTCCTTGCTACCACATTGGCAAGTAGAGATATTTGCCTAGTCATTATCAATATATCAGTTCTCCTTTTCTTAGGTGACGCAACACAATCGTTGACTTATATGATTTTCAGGCTCAAGCTCAGCCACGTATGGAGGATAATGATCCTCTCATAACGCTCATCCTGAAGCTCGTTAAAGTTACTGAAACGTTCATTGATGGAATTCTTGAAGAAACGCGCAACATAGCGAAAGAAGCTTCCGAAAATACTGAGGAATTGCGATTGAAAACCCTTGAAGTAGTGAGGAAAGCAGTAGATACGATTTGGAGTATCATCGATGGAGAATTAGCAAGGATTAAAGCTAGTAAGTGAATCTATTGAAAACAATTCCTTCTTACCAGAACAAAATAGCTATCCTATCCTATCATTTTATCATCATGAGAGATGGCAGTTTTAGTAATCTCCTAATGAAGCTAACTCGATTAGCGAATCGAGCGTAAAAAACTATTTTTTTTCTTTAATGAATCGAAGAGGTTTTGTATTAAAGTGTATAATATATTAAAATTCTTGCAAAGCGCTTTCGACTTTTGTCATCATCAGTGCTCACTTGTCAATTGGTCAAAGACGAAACGGAACTGTTTCAAATTTGGTGATAGTCGTGTCACTAAATATTCTGGCAATATTTTGAATTCATTGGAGCCTCTGGAACCACCCTACATTTCACTCTATGAAAGAGAGGACATTTTCAGATCAAGATCTTCAGATGATGTGGTGCTGCAGGTTTTTTCCATTTTCCTACAGCTGAAAAAGCCAATGCGCCACTGAAATCAATCAAGTCGCCCCGGAGCGAAAATTGAATTGCATGCAAATCTATCTCTCTCTCTCCATGAATTGAATGGTATTTGCTTCCTGGGCACGCTCATTTGGCCAAGAATACAGAAAAATATTCAGTTTATTTTTTTTGTCTTCAACTTAGTGATAATGTATAGTGTAGCTTCTCACGGATGATGAAATATGTTGAGTTATTAGCGTTCCTGCTTTGTCAGTTACACCTCACGAAGGATCTATAACATGTCTTGATAATGGCATCCGAAATGATGGCGAAACTTTGACCTTTTAAGGACACACAATGGATGAACACCAGGAACCACGTTTCCCGAAACGTGGCGGCTCCCGCTCTTCGTCTGAAAGCTTCATTGGACTCGTTGCAATTAATTAGTGTTGTTTTGTTTATATAAATTTCAAATTACATAATATTTGGACCTATCCTGAATCCAGAATTTAATTTTTTCCTTAAGGATGCAGGTGTACCAAGCAACCCCGTATTTGGGGATGGTTGGTACATACCTTGGGTTTGGTTGGTCAAGGAAAAAACTAACAAAATGATTAGTGTTTTTATTTTTTTACGTAAGAATCAGCCTGCAAAAAAATTATAATACAAAATAAAACGGTACCTATCTTTTAAAAAAGTGAATAATCTAGTCAGAACCATCCGAATCACAATTATGACAAACGTAGAACAAGCCCACATCTGCGCATTTTTCATGTGCTCACAATTTGCATTGGGTGCACTGAATCCATTTCTCGTTAGGCAAACTATTTGACCAGGATTCAACGCAAAGCATGCATAAGGTTCCTTGATCACTGCTTGAATCGTCTTTAATTTTCGAATTTTTCGCATTTACTTGTTTTTTTGTGTTCTTTTTGGTTTTGCCAAAGACCTGTTTTTTTATCGATCTCGTTTCATTTTCTTTTTTCTTCTTCTAATGCATCTTTAATAGGCGTATCTGTCAAGAGTTCAGATTTTCTTTTTGTGCGACCCCGTTGCACTTTCCTTTCTGCGGCTTTTGGAAACGGCTTCAAATTTTCGAGATCTGTAAAATACATGTTGCTACCTTGTTAGATGACTGGAGACACTGAGAATTCTGGGGCGTGGGCGTCTTACTTTCTGCAATTCTGCTTGGTCCAGCTTGTTGCACGTCTTCGTTGGGATTAGTCTCTTGGTCTGGCAAGGGGTTGTCGACTCGGTTTAAAGCCTCTTCGATGAGTGTAATTTGACCAAGTTCAAGTAGATTCAACTCCCAATACTTCACCAGGATTTACGTTTTGCTCAATATCTTGCAAATTTTGTTCAGGATCTGGTATATCTGTAACATAAGCAGCCATAAATTCACTGTCCGGAAAAATATCTCTATTGAATGGATAAATTCCGAAAACTTGTTATCCAGCTGTAATGTTGTTTGGAGTTGCCGCTAATGGTAGTGCTGTACGAACAATACTGGGTATGTCATAAATTGTCATCGTTGCACCCGGACAATTAATCATCCAAGAATCATTAGCACCACTGACATACTTCTTCAACGGTCCATAAACACTGCGATCCAGAGGTTGGAGCTTATGGCTACAGTGAGGCGGAAAGGACAACACTATTACGCCGTGATCTTTGCAGATGTTTAGTGCTTCGAGAGATACATGCAAATCGTGGTTGTCTATCAAAAGCAGGAGAGGGTTTTCTTTAGACGCCTTGGAGTATTGAATAAAATAATGGATATATTGTATGAAATGAACTTCTTTCATTCAGCCTGATAGATTGGCACTTCCATCGCTTCCAGGCGGGGCATCTCTGAGAAAATGGGGCTTAAAATGAACACGAGGAAATATGAAGAAAGGTGGCACAGTGTTTCCAGCAGCAGAAACAGCACACGCAAAAGTTACAAGCGTACCGCGTTCTGCCAAAGTAACTCTTCCCACTTGTTTGACACCACGTCTACCCACAATTCGGTCAGGTCTCTGAACTGTAGTAATCCCTGTTTCGTCCTTATTCCAGATGTCCACAGGACTAAAGTTATACCTTCTAAGAACAATTTCCAGATTGCTGAAAAATCTGTCAACATTTGTTTTATTGTAGCTCGTGGCTCTAGACAAACTGGTGGCTTCAGGTGTCCTTATAGTCAATCCAGCATTTCGCTTTGAAAATGATGTAAACTAGTTGGAGTCAGCCATCTCATTTTTCTTCCAGCTATGGAACCATCAGGTGCAAAGAAGTTGCATATAAATAAGCTAATCTTTTCACTTCTTTGGGCATAAGACCATAGTAAATATCGACAGATTTTTTGATGTAATCTGTGAGATTGGACTCTTGAAGCTCGGTAAAAATCTAAAACCAGAAATTTTACTAGAAACTAAATCACCAAGTATATTTTTTAAAAAACCTACTTGTCTATTTTTAAAGTCTCCAACAACTGTTGAAGGCATTTAGGCATTTCTCTTTAAGATTGCAGTTCCTCTAGTGTAAACTTGAAGCAATGTCTTCTTAATGTGTTGAATGGAATTTTGAAGTCACTGGCAGCAGATCTTAGAGATTTCCCTTCCAATTTTATGGCTCTGACCGCCCTTAGCATGATATCCGGGGGTGTTTTGCCTCTTTCCGATTTTCTTTTAAACGTACGCATTCAAATGAAGGTTTCCTAAAAAAGCCAGCTAGTTGTAAAACAAAAAAAAAACGTAAAGCTAGCCCCCGAGGTTAACAAAATGTTAAAACATTATGAATCAAAGTTTTATATTTGGTAAGTATTGACAAAAGTGTAAATTTTTTAATATATATACTCTGTTGTTATCGAAAAAGCAATAAAACTGATATTACAAATATTTCAAACTCATAAATATTTACTTCGGGTGACAAAACCACGTGCACCAAGTAAAGCTAAAAAAAAAACGCCCACACATCAACGATAACTGTCTTCAACTGGCGCGTATTCAAACACCTTCCGATAGATGCGAGCAACGCTGGTGTTAACCGAACGGATTCCGAAATTTTACGAATGTACCAACCAACCCCTGTGCCCAATCATAACCGGTCTCCCCTGATGTTGCACTGAACTTGTTACAAATTTCAACAGTTTGTGTTCGAACCAGAAAACTGTACAAATCTTGGCAGTGTTTAATGTCTAATAAAGCTCAGATCAGACCTTCTTGGAGTATTGTTCAAATGTATGTATATAGCTCTGCCTCTAAGCATATCCTAAAGCTTCTAGATTCCACCCAGAAAAGAGCCATCCGCCTGATTGGAGACGCGAACATCACTTGCAACCTTGATAGTCATAAACATCGAGGAAAGGTGGAAGATTTGTCTCTGTTTCATATATAGTTTCACGGGAGTTGTTCAAGTGACTTGGCACATTTGATTCCACTAAAAGTACAAATCAGAAATACGCAACGGATTCTGGCTGCTCATCATTTCGAGGTTCAACTGAAGTGCTTGTGTTTTGTCTTTGAAAACCAATCAGCATTAGTTCCAGAGCATAGCCTCTAATACCAAAATCAAACAATTTTTTGAGTAAGGAGGTTTCATGCAACACGGTATCGAAAGCTTTCACCAAGTCCATAAATACCTGAAGACATTTCAAAGACTTGTCCAAGGCCCCCACTGTTTGTTCCACGAAGTTGAGAACGGCACTTTCAGTATTTCATTTGTTTATAAACCCGAATTGTTGTCTTTTTTTTGTATAATGTTTGCTGACAAAATCTATTATTCGATTCTTGACGAATTCTTGACCGAAATTGGATTAACTGAAAGAACAGCTCGTTGAGACCAATCTCGACCTAACTACACAGTAGCCTAAGTGAGTGATACCTACCAGAAAACAACTATTTTCCTGGCTAGTACCACGAAAGGGCGTTGGATTATATCCAATAGATGTCAGTGCAGGATTCTCCACAGAAGTATTTTCTGCTTGCTGTTGGCGATACATCTGTGAAATCGATTTTCAATTATAGAAACGATCACACTTGCAGATTGGTTTCGGGCTATTTGGCGCCTTTCGTCAGTGAAAGATAATGGCCCCCATCAACCTGAAGTTTATGATATTCCATAATGTAAAATCATTCCTCTAAGGAGGCTGAAGCGAACAACAAACAACAAATAACAAATTTGTCATCGCTCCATCTGGTGAACAAGTTACTAACCAACCGCATATCCAAAATTAGCTCAATTCCACATATAAGGAAAGGAACTTTCACATATATTCAGTGGGCATACTTGAAGACTGACTATAAATCAAATTAACCTATTTCACATATCATTTTGACTTCCAGATTTGAAGACTGAGGTTACTCTACTTACTTTCCACTGGGACGGTATTTGTAACACTAATTTATCAAATGAATTAGTGGTTTCAATAGATATTCATGCAAATGTTTCATCAGTTTGCTAGCTGTTTCGTCAGGACCTGGTGCACTATAGTTTTTAAGCTTTGAACTTAGACATATTTCATTTTCTGTCACTGGTTCAAAAAACAGGGAAGATGTTTTCTTGATTTCAGTCATTAAGTTTTTAGGTTAGTCACATTTTTCAATTTGTTTTGCTATATTTACACCTACATTATGAAAAAATTTGTTGAACAAATGTTTTTTCATTATACGTCACGGTTTTACCATTTTTTCCAATGATTGGTGTGTTTTCTTCATTATATTCATTTGTATTCATGTTCTTCATGTCTTCAATAACCTTACAAGTTTGTTTACAGTTATCATTCACCTCTTGTAATTCATTTTCATAATATTCAATTTTTATTCGTTTTATTGATGAATATAAATGAAGTTATTTAAAAAATTATTATTATTACAGGTCGCTGCAACTATTACGTACTACCTCGCATCTGCAGAGAGGTATTATAAGGAACAAATATATCAATTCGAAGAGGAATTTCACAAATTAGCTCATGATGTTTATCCAACGTGCATCGTTCCTAATGCTGAGATTTACAGAGAAAAATCAATCAAACGTCTTCACAATCTTGTTGCTTGTATTAGGTCTTGAACTGAAATTAGTGAGATATTGTATCTTCATTATAATCTTTCCAAAAAGTGGATCTAGTTGGTCAGTGAAATATATAGCATCTTGATTAAGAAATAGATTTATATTCTGAATAACATATACATTTTTCAAATAGTGATAAGTACTTTGAATACATTTATGAAACATCTACTCTTATATGAATATTGAATCACAAGCAAATAACTTTTTTCATTTCAGATTTTACTCCAATTACATTACACCATTTTCAAAACTGTTTTGAAAATGGTGTAATCACCGAAACTAGTCAACAACTATCGTGGAGAATGGACATATGTTTTTATAGCATATCCTCAGTGAACATGAATTTCCACAAAATAAAAATAACGTCAAGACAGGCATTTCCAATTTGTCATGAGAAATCTTTCTCATATTTCCTCACTGACAATATGTTGTTATAATACAAAAATATTACATTATTTCGCAATAAAATGAAACTTTCGAGATGAAATATCCAGTGAAAAACTGAATATTCCAGAATATTGAAATATTTTAACTAGTTCACAAGATGATTATCGCTTGAGCATGCGATATATTCAAATATTTGTGAGAGTTTCCTATTATATCCAGATGGCTATCCAGACACCGGTGTGTTTGATGATGTTGGATAATTGTCCGACAGATGGCGCAATCAGTATGTTTTCAATGTAATTTTTTTTGAGTAATGCAAGAAATTGAATACTTTGAAAAACAACCCTGACAGCTAGAAGAGTAGGTGAATTGGAAGAACATATTTAATGTTCCTAACTCCAGTAACCTGCGGGGCGAGGAGGAATTAACTTTTATACTATTTCTGAAAATACATACTATAATTGTGAATAATTACGTCGGTAGTCGATGCTATAGACACAAAACAATGATTGAGAGACTCTAGTTTTGCATTTCTGAAAAATATTTTGTTTAGCTTCATATTAAATCATTTGAAAATGAGCGCCAAACTAACTGACTATTATAAGACAAGTATAGCTGAGGCACCATTCAATCTAATAGTAATACTGATGATTTTCAAACATGACTCAACCTCTGACGGAAACACCAACTCTTACGAAGGTTCGAAATAGATGAATACCCCTGCACGTCGTCTTGAGTTCATTCAGGTTGGAGCCCAGCTCTCTTACCCTTTTGGCTGATTTTTGTAGAAGAAAGTCCTCAGCCATCAGTACCGCCCTTCACGGGGTACCCCTACCTGGCTGGGGTGAGAAGGATGAAAAAGCTATTCGTCCGTTAACGGGAGACATGAGGGCCTCATTCGACAGAGTGTCGGCGCCTTCTATATCAGGATGGGTCGTCTGCAGCATAATCTATAGCTTCCCTAACTAACGGATTTTCGTTAGTTTCCGCGCTATCAAAAACTCGCCGATTTCTCGACTGAATGGACTGCCGAATGGAAGGCAGCTGCAAATCTCTGCGGATGGCTTCATTCCGCACGAACCAAGGAGCATTCACAATCATCCTCATCAAATTGTTTTGTAATCTCTCCAAAATGGAGATATTGTAAGTACCCGCTTGTCCCCTGACGCCTGAAGCATATATGATGACAGGCTTGAACATCGTATTGTAGATGGTAATTTTGTTCTTTGAACTCATTTGAGATTTTCTGTTGGTCAGAGGGTACAGACTAGCTATCCGACACTCGCCTGAGTCTTGTTCGGGTTCACTCGGATCTTCCAATCCAGGAACCAGCGCTCGAGGCCGTCCAATGCACGTTGCATGTAGACGACGCCGAGCTCCCGACCCATGGAAGACGAGAGGAGAGCCGTGTCATCGGCGTACAGGAAAATCTTCACACGCTCGGGTTTCGGAAGGTCAGTGGTGTAAAGTGAATACAACGTCGGAGAGTGCACAGCCCCCTGTGGCACTCCAGCGAGGATCTCTCTTTTGTCAGACAGAGAGCCCTCTACTCAATCCACCCAATCCACCGGATCAGGTGCCGAGGCAGGTCAAACGCGATCAATTTGTGCCATACATGGCCTTCGTACCATACACGGTCGAAGGCCTTCTATATATCTAAGAGAACAATATGCACTTTTTGTTGTTGTTAAGTTCGTGGATGGTGTTTTAGACCAGCCTTAGAGCCTGTAACTCAGTGGAGTGTTCTCTCCTGAAGCCAAATTGTTCATCAGGCAGAACATTTCGCTCCTCAACTTCTTCGTTGAGCCTTTGGAGAACAACTCTTTCAGCCAGCTTAGCCGCCGACGAGAGTAGACTGATCGGGCGCTAGTTCTGTGGGAACAGCGGGTTCTGACCCTGTTTTGGGATCATGACGACGATCAGGTGCTTCCACCTTCTGGGAAAGTATCTGAGGGCCAACGAACTGTTTATAATGTACAGTAGGTTCTCGACGCAATTTTCCGGGAACTTCTTCAACAACTTATTGCTTATTGAATCGACCCACGGAGCTTTCTTGGCCTTTGCGACCCTGATGTCTCCCCTCAGCTCTTCCACAGAAGCTGGACGGATGTTATCATCGTCATCCTCCCTGAGGAAACGGTAAACCCGGTCTTCCAACAGCATATCGCGGTCGATGTCGTCATCCTCGTTAACGTTAAGCTGAAACTGACGTTCCATCGTGTCGGCAAAGGCTAAATCTTTGTCGGCGGGGGAGTAGCACCACACTTCACGCTCTCCGTGAATGGGTGAGAGAGTAGTTTTCTTTCCCTTGAGCCTGCGGGTGACTCACCAAAGCTCGCCATCCCCAGGTTCGAAGGATTCCAAAAGCTCTTCCCACCTTTCGTTTCGATGATCAATAATGGCCTGCTTGACTTGGTTGGCCATCCTGCTTACCGCAATTTTGTCTTCTAGGAAAATGGTTCGTTGATAGAGCCTTCTCAAGCGATCATCGCCCAATACCAGGATTATTGGATTATGATCGGAATCCAGTTCCGACAGAACGTAAATTTCGCTAGTCAGAGAGACGTTTCTGAGAATCGCGATGTCTAGTACATCAGGCCAAGTCTGCCCGCAATAGTACGTAGGCTCATCTGGTTCCAGCACAAGATATTCATGCCTGTCAACATGCGCATGGAGCGCTTGGCTGTTTCGATTTGTGGCTCTGCTCCATGGTCTGTGCTTGGCATTGAAGTCGCCAGCAGCAATTGTCGAAATGTTGCTTCCCATCAGCAGTTAATCCAGACATTCTGGGAGTAAATGATTGTTCGGAGGGTTGTAAACCAAGATTACTCTGTGACAACTCCTGCTCAAACTGAAATTAGTGAGATATTGTATCTTCATTATAATCTTTCCAAAAAGTGGATCTAGTTGGTCAGTGAAATATATAGCATCTTGAATAAGAAATAGATTTATATACTCAATATCATATACATTTTTCAAAATGTGATAAGTACTTTTAATAAATTTATGAAACATATACCCACATATGAATATTGAATTACAAGCAAATACCTTTTATCAATTCAGATTGTACTCCAATCAAGATTACATTGTGATATTGCCAATTGTTTTTATACAAAACAAAAAGTTGAGGTCACCCATTTTGCTCGCTGATGAGATTCTTTTTTTGAACTACAAATTAGCTGTAATACATTTCAACAAAAATACGTTCATGAAATGGCGAAAATAACTATCCAGAAACTTGAAACAACATTATACGAGTATACGAGTATGTGCCTGATTAAATAGCTCTAATGGCCACAATTATTGACTTTGGAAATATACTAAAATATAATTGCTGGGGTAACACTATAAAAACACACTTTTGTCTATTTTCCACGATATTTGTTGACTAGTTTCGGTCATTACACCATTTTTAAGACTGTTTTGTCAAGAAATATAAAACTATCGTGGAAAATAGACAAAAGTGTGTTTTTATAGTATATACTCAGTGAACATGAATTTTCACAAAATAAACAAGAAGTCAAGACAGACATTTCCAATTTGTCATGAGAAATCTTTCTCATATTTCATCACTGAAAATATGTTCTTATAATACAAAAATATTACATTATTTCGCAATAGAATGAAACTTTCGAGATAAAATATCCAGTTAAAAACTAAATATTCCAGAATATTGAAATATTCAAACTAGTTCACAAAATGATTATCGCTTGAGCGTGCGATGTATTCAAATATTTGTGAAGGTTTCCTATTATATCCAATATTTTCCCTGAGTTTGACGTTCAAATTGGTGAACCCAGATGGCTGTCCAGACACCGGTGTGTTTGATAATGTTGGATAATTGTCCGACAGATGGCGCGTTCAGTATGTTTTCAATGTAATTGTTTTTTGAGCAACTTTAGAAATTGAATATTTTGAAAAACAACCCTGACGCCTGAAGCATACATGATGACAGGCTTGAACATCGTATTGTAGATGATAATTTTGTTCTTTAAACTCATTTTAGATTTTTTGTTGATCAGAGGGTACAGATTAGCTATCCGACACTCGCTCCTTGACTTAACGTACATAATGTGCGGGTTCCAAGTGAGCCTACGGTCTATCAGAAGGCCGAGGTACTTTACCCGCGCTTGCCAGTCAATCTCCCTTCCAGAGATTCTCACTTTTCTGGCCGGGGAAAATTTCAATCTTCCCATGGTTATCGCCTGAGTCTTGTTCGGGTTCACTCGGATCTTCCAATCCAGGCACCAGCGCTCGAGGTCGTCCAATGCACGTTGCATTGGACGAGCTCCCGACCCATGGAAGACGAGAGGAGAGCGTGTCATCGGCGTACAGGGAAATTTTCACACGCTCGGGCCTCGGAAGGTCAGTGGTGTAAAGTGAATACAACAGCCCCCTGTTGCACTTCAGCGAGGATCTCTCTGTTGCCAGACAGAGAGCCCTATACTCAATCCACCGGATCAGGTGTCGAGGCAGGTCGAACGCGATTAATTTGTGCCATACATGGCCTTCGTACCATATACGGTCGAAGGCCTTCGAGATATCTAAGAGAACAATATGCACTTTTTGTTGTTGTTAAGCTCGTGGATGGTGTTACAGGCCTTAGAGCCTGTAACTCAGTGGAGTGTTCTCTTCTGAAGCCAAATTGTTCATCAGGCAGAACATTTCGGTCCTCAACTTCTTCGTTGAGCCTTTGGAGAACAACTCTTTCAGCCAGCTCAGCCGCCGACGAGAGTAGACTGATCGGGTGCTAGATCTGTGGGAACAGCGGGTTCTGA